TTGGGCATTTTCTCACCTTTAATAGACAGGACAGAGAGAAAGCTGTGAAGCAGGGAGAGAGTGGGGGGGACATGCATAAATGACCGCAGGTTGGAATTGAACCTGAGCCTCTGCAGGTTGAGGCCTTGCCTCGTTGGGACGGCATCTCTACCAGGTGAGCTGTATGCAGCCCCAGATGTTTGGTTTTTACACAACAATAGAAAACTCAGAGACACACACAGTCATTAACTGTACAATAACAACAAACATTCAATCCTTACATTTGACAAGCTGCAAAATAAATTACAAATATGAATGAAACACCTTTTTAAATAGTTGATCATTCATTTTTTGTTGGTTAGCTCATCAATTAAATGACTGATTGTTGCAGCTCTGGTGGTGACTATAGAACCTCATATAATACAGTAACACTATATTACACAGCATATGCTACATTAATCTATTTCTATGAAGAATATATGTATATATATATATTCTGTCATTAGTATTATTTATTGTCTCTCTCTCTCTCTCTCTCTCTATATATATATCACAAATTAGATCTTGACAGTGTATGGGCATGCTCCTGATGAGTTGGTGGATGGTGTTCTGGGGGATCTACTCCTAGACCTGGATCAGGGCATCAACCTGGACAGTCTGCAGCAGTACTTGGCGTTGTTGGATACACTGATACATAACATCGCAGAGGTTCTCACTTGGATCTATTTCAGGTCATTTCAATGACATCAATGTCTTTGTCATCCAGGAACTGTCTACACACTCTGGCAACATGAGGCCTGACGGTATTGTTCTGCACCAGGAGGAACCCAGGACCCCCCCGCTCTCATCTGTGAAGAGAACGGGGCGCCAGTGGCGTACTTGCCAATTCTGGTGTCCTCTGGAGAATGCCAATTGAGCTGCACAGTGCTGGGCTGTGAGCACATGTCCCACTAGAGGACGTCAGGCCCTCATGCCACCCTCATGGAGTCTGCTTCTGACAGTTTGGTCAGAAACATGCATCCCTGTAGTCTGCTGGAGGTCATTTTGTAGAGCTCTGGCAGTGCTGCTCCTGTGACTCCTGGCACAAAGGAGAGATACTGGTCCTGCTGCTGGGCAACTGCACCTCTGAATGTGCCATCGTGGAGGAGCTGGACTACCTGCGCAACCTGGTTGGGCTGCAGGTACCACCTCATGCTGCCAGTAGTGACAAGGACACTAGCAGAACACAAAACTAGGCAAGAATCAATCACGAAGGATAATTAGAGAGCAATTGTCTGTGGCTTACTACATGCAAAACCTTTCCCATTTTGAGGGTTGTCTTGCTTTTGCCTCTCCATTGCACCACTTTCATTTGCACCACAGCAAGTGAAATTGAATCACAATCACTGGTGCTTCCTAAATGGACAGACACATATATTCTGTCATTATAAATATGTATTCTGTCATTAGTGATATATACAGTATATATAAATGATGTCATTGATATAAGATATGATATGAAGTGATACTGCATTTGACAGTATCAGGTTAAACATTCTCGTTATTATTCCACAGTAAATGATTTTACCAGCTGATTTAAAATCACATTGTTTGGCCTTGAGAGAGCTGCCAATCACTGCTGCATCATTTCCCACCACTAGAGGCTGCAGTGCATTTCAGCTGTGATTCTCAGGCTTCTATTGTATCAACATACAACATATATTTTTTTGATGTGAAGAACTCAGCACATTATTACTTTGTTTTGTGCTGCAACTCGAATTTAGGTTATTGTTTCCACAACAAAATCTGATACTTCAGACAGAGCAAACTAAAAAAACTAACTGTTTTAAGTAAATTATCTTCTGACAAACACTTAGTCGTAACATATCACGTGTTTGATTAACATCAACCCATTTATCTTATTGGTTAATAATCTAAAATGATCCGATTATTTATTGATCACCTGTGGGATTGATCGCTGAGGTTTCAGGCAGGCATAACTGTACAATATGTATACGTGGTCACAAATGTTATTGACAAAATAAGTCTTAAATAGCTGCAACTTTCTGCTATAGAGAATAAAGCACTATCAACAGTTTCCTTTTTTTATATATCAACCAGATAGCTGCACAGCACTAAACTGAGCCAGTGTCGTCATGACAGACTATAAGAAGGAAACTTCACCTTCAGTATCATTGACAGCCGCTCAGCTTTATAACCACTTCATCATGACAACAGGTCAGCCCATCAGCCACACATATTATTATTCAGGTAAATATGGTTACTCATAGAACGTCATTAATACTTCAAATACATATACAGTTAACTCTGAGTCACAGTAGTTGACTTACTGGTCAGTGGTAGTTTGAATAAAAGACATCAAACTTTGCAGAGCTGTTCAGGACCACAACAGTAAGAAAGCCACTGGTCTTCATGTTTATCAGAGAAGATCATCATCATGAATCAGAAGAACATGATTATAGCAGGGACACTTGCAGAGGTGGATCTGTGACCATCTACACTGAGCTTCTCTGGCTCACTGACCATTTAAAACACAACACTCCCGCCTAGTGGAGTCCATCAAAACTGCAGTGCTGCACTGCTGTACAGAAACAAAAAACAAAAGCTATGGTTTATCTTGATTTCTACATGAATTATTTATATTTGACACAATATGTGTAATATTGTGGAATTAACTGAAACAGACAAATAATTAACCAAACACACACTATAGAGATTTTCCAATAAATACAGATATCAAGGCTGTGAACATTCAATCTCCTGCCTGTTCATCATATTACTGATATGTAGCTGCTAACAGAAGACAAGAAGAGGAAGACTGATTCATTTCACCATGCTACACTCTTATAATGGGATATTAGCATATTTTCCGATCACTATCCTATTATCTGTCTTATGGGCCTCTTAACAAGTATTTCATCATTTAGCACAATCTCTATATCTTATTCCATGTTGGCACATTGACACTATGGATGAACTCTGATGAAGCTTCAAATTGAATCTTTTGCCACACTGATCTTATAATATAAATCACTGTCATATTTATATCACACTATGATTAAAGGAAGTTTATGCCACAATCCTCAGTTCCATTTTGTACATCCTCTACCCTCTAATGGCCTTCATTGCTGCTTAAAGGGATAGTTCACCGAAAAATGAAAAAAATAACTCTTATCTACTCAACACTATGCCAATGGAGGGGTGGGGGAAGTGTTTGAGTCCACAAAACAAATTTTGGAGTTTCAGGGGTAAACAGTATTGCCGCCAAATCCAAAACAATTAAATTAAAGTAAATGGGGACCACTTCTTCAAAAGTAAAAAACTGAAGAAGAAAAAATTGATGTCGCCGTACTGCTCCTGTGGTGTGATCATGGACCATGTTTTTAGCCTAAATGTCCGCTGTGATCCACGTGCGAACGCGGCTCTAGAGAAGGGTATCAGAGAACATTTAGGCTCAAAACATGGTGTAAATTATGCTGTTTGGAGACTAATTTGAATGTTGGGGCTTCCGGACACCACACGGGCAGGATGGAGGCACATCATATCTTTTTTCTGTTTTACTACGCATGAAGAAGGAGTCACCGTTTACTTCAATTGTATTGGATTTGGCTGCAACTCTGTTGCTGAGACTCCAAAGGTGTTTTGTGGACTCAAACACTTCACCCACCCCTGCGTTGGCATAGTGGTGAGTAGAAAATAATGCTTAAGATGCCAGGGAGTTACTCACTGCACATACTGCTTGTTACATCTGCATCTCCCACACATGTGAATATATACAGTACATCTGTGCAAAACCTTGACACAAGCTCACATCTGTTTTTTTTTTTCTGACTGCACAAGACAATTTGATGACAGAGATTCTGTTCATTAAGCATTCTGTAACGGCACATGCCATTGATTATAGTCTGGCCCTGAGAAGAAAATGGACTCCTGCACTCGATCATAATGGCAGCAAGCCTTCACACCACTAGTCCCCCCCTCTGGCAAAGCAGCTCCTGCACTAGGTGCAAACTTGGGGACAGTCACTGCTCTGACTGCGTCAAATGTCAGGGCATCATCGGTGGGTTCAACATTCTTCTCTGGGGTGAAAGCAAAAAATGACATGAGAAACCTGAGAGCTCAATCTGCAAAACAGATGAGTTCATTCTTGCTCAGCTACAGGTGACCTCAGTCACCATGGTGACATGTTTTGTTCTCAACTGTAATGACCAAATGTTTGAATTCACTGCTGCTCTGATTGACACCTCTCAGCAGCAGCCAAGGCTCATGGGTAATATTTAGCCTTATCCCCAAAGATAACAGACAAAACATTGTGAAATGGTCAGGCAGAGTGCTGTGTTTCCATGTTCGGTAGAAATATGAAATGTTAGTACAGAATAGGAAAAGTGTTCACTCACACACACAACTCACGCAGAAGTGTTAACTCGTGTAATGGACCACAGGGGTGTAAGGCCTTCAACACAAAAACTCAAGAATATAATATGAAATATTTTATTCTACTTCGTTTTCCAGTTTTTTTTTTGCCACTGCATAACAATTGATCTTATTATATAATGAACAGAGAAATCAATACATATAGTGACTAAAGTGTGCACCTACCTGGACCAGTTTGTAGAAGTAGGCGTACTGTCGTGCAGTGTTTTTATACTGGCTTAGAACATCCTGCACTGCCTGTGTACCCAGCAGCAACTCCACTTCGTCCTGCTGGTAGTAAAGCGGCGTGTCGTACTCCTGGGGAAGAGTGTGGATGTATGGCAGCCATGGGGAAGCCGCGTTGGCCCGCTCACAGAGCAGGTGGAGGGCCAGTGTCACATTGCCCATGGCCTGTAGGATGCGGTCCTGGCTGTACAGAGGACCTGAGACCCAGAGAGTACAGTTAGTTACAGGACAACACAGTGCTGCTCTGAGCAGCCTGAGCAGCCTGAACAACCTTGGTGTTGTTGTGTTGTAGTGAAAAGCGGAGAAATGTTTAACTGTGATGGAACAGAATACAGTAGCCAACCAAGACACTGATTTGCAGAACAGCATCTAGATTAAAACTTGCTAGAATATTTTTCAACATGTAATGAGAACCTATGTCACAATGGAATATTTATTTCAACCATGGCTGTAGTTGTTTGCAAAGATTTCCCAGGGGAAATTATATAAGTAGATTTCTGAAGTGAAAAGAAGTCAATCAGACCTCCGTAAACAGAGATGAAAAATGAGGTTTCGTTCTTGTTTGTTTCATCTGCTTAAAAAAGAGACAAAAACTAGAAGCGGTCTGAGAGAACATCTCTCCACGTCAGAGCAGTGTTTACATTTATAATCTAGACTGTGGCGGCCCGCCATATTCTTATTTTTTCCTGCCACAGTTTCATAATGAAAAAAACGTTGTTTTTTTTTAAACACTTTTTATAATAAGAGATGCCTAACTTGTCTCACTGTATGGCTGTGTGCAGCAAATTTTGCAGCACGCTATTGTCCAAAACGTTGTGACATCCATGACAGTCTGACCTCATGACTTCTGCAGCAGTTGTATACCCACAAGTGACATGCAACATACAAATTCTTTCTCTTACTTCTCTTTCACTCTTTAGTTTATGTATCTATCACTTGGGATCTGTTGCATGCATATGTGCACATGCACGCCCTACAGCCATAGACTGAATTCTGTGGAAAAAGCTGCAGAGAAAATGAGGAAAGCCCATTTATATGGATCCGCTCAAAAGTGTAACAGGTTCTTCCTTCGATCACATCCCACCAACACTGATGAAAACATAACCTCCTGGCAAAGGTAATAACATTTTCTTCCATATTAAAAAGGATGGCGCAACTGTTTGTGTAGCCTTGACATGTATTATGTTATGTAACATTAAAGAAGATAGGTACCTTGCTCAAAGGCACCTCGGCAGTGCCCAGGAGGTGAACTGGCACCTCTCCAACTTTCGTCCATGCTGGACTTGAACCGGCCACCCTCCAGTTCCCAAGCCAAGTCTCTATGGACTGAGCTACTGCCTCCCCAAGAGTATTAAGTATTTTATCAAGAGTGAAAAGTTCTCACCTAGAACAGAGTTCTGGGCTGACTCTACTGTCATCAGCATCTTCCTGGGAATCCACAGGAACAGTTCCTCTGCCTGCACCATGCACATAAACATGAAATTCAAAGATCAGATTTATAAATGTAGGAATGGGAAGTAAATGGACTCCACTCCTTTAACAACTATTTCCTAAGACATGATCAGCTGGTCACACCCCTATACTGCTGTGGGTCAAACTAAAACCAACCACAACCAGCAGTGTATTGGTCTGTCACCCAGCATCTTCTTACTTCTGTGGCTCTCATGTGGCATTTGTTGACAAGGCTAGAAATACTGATCAGCAGACATTAGAAGAGCCTTAAAAAAAAAAAAAAAAAAGAAGTAGTTTAAGCCTTCAGGGCTCACCTTGATGTCCATGGTGGCCCGCAGGCCATAGCCTTCTGTGCCAAAGTTGGTCACAGTGAAGCCATCACAGGAAGCTCCATTTTCCTCAGCCCAAGACATCAGTTCTGAGAAGTAGTCCTCTCTACTGCCCTCAAACACTACTGACATGCCTGAAAACACATACAATGTTTCCATTCATTTCAATTTTTAAAGTCATTAAATAGTGAAACAATTTCTGTGTCTGTGTGTGTGTGTGTGTGTACATGTCCTCACCCTTCTGTTTCTTGCGGATCTTCTCAACCAATCCTCTGATTTGGGTGTACTCCTCCCACTCCTTACCAGCGGATGGTGCTGCACTGCTACATTCTGGAGAAAACACAGGTTAACCATAAACATGTCAGCAGAAACGCGCACGCGCGCACACACACACGCACACACGTACGTTAACCTGCAACTACATTAAAGCATAAATGAACTACAGCAGCATAGAGAGCACATCAACAGTGACTCTGAAACCTGAAAACTGTCATGTATAATAGAGTCCTGGTGACAGAAAACAACTGATGGACACTAAGGACATTAAATTGACTGTAATCCTAATACAGGATTAAGTCAGACAAGAGTTCTGTTTCAGATAAACAGCAGAATTGAGAGGTTCTGGAGCAGACTACAATCTCTTGTCTACTTTATATCAGGACATATATAATGGAATAATGGAATTAATTTAATACATGTTTAACAACCATATCATGCAAAGTATGAAAGCACAATAAATAACCAGCAAGGTTATGGAAACATGAGCCCTGAGTCATTGTTAATCCCAATGAAAATCTTTGTGCCTCTCTGACATCCTGGTTGTGTATGGTAGATCATATGTCTTGTCTTTTCCAGGCAAAGTGTCAGGGCCCAGGTCTGGCAGGTTTTTGTTGTGATTCCTTCTAAAATGGAGGTAACAGCAAATCAACTGTAGAAAGTAGACTACAGGGTAGACCAGGGGTATCCGACTGTTCAAGCGTTTATCATTTCAACAATATAAACGTCAAAGAGGGTGGGGCTGCTGCAGAAAAACTTCCTCAGGTTGCTGCTAACACTTTTGCATCTGTAATTGTTTGGGTTGTTCATTTCCATTTTTAAAGACGTGCAGTGCCAATTCTACACATGCCTGTTTGGTATGGGCTGCTTGCTTGGCCCGTCATACAGCAAAATAAAAACCATCGTTGTGCTTTTACTTTGTAGACAAATTGCCAAATAGTAAATTATTCTATGAATATTGTTGCCATGATGGAGATCAGCACCAACGACACCCATGAATGTCTGTATCAATCTTTTGATTACAGGCTGCAAGCATGCTGCCCCGCCCCTACTGGCTGCGACAGAGCCCTGATTGCTTGTTTATTACCGTTGTATTAATATCAAGCATATAATGTTTGACAATGCACTTCTCTGGGCCCTAAATAAAGTCACATGCCAAATATGAAACTGATAAGATGACCGGTTCTCGAAATATGCATTCCAAATACAAACATGTAGACAAACGTTAGTGAGATTAGTAGGTGGATGGCTGTGATGATTACTCTGCTCCATATGTAAGGAAAACGTCCACTGCTCAGAATCAGGATGAATGGTTTCAATAAAATTTTAGCATTTCATTTAAAATAATAATAATAAACTGTAATGTGTATAGAACTTAAAAAAAAAAAAACAACATAGTTTACAAAGTGCTTTGACAACAAAGCAAGAAAAGTAAATACATTTAAAAAAATACCATCAGGCCTTCCATGACGGACCTGGATTTTAGCCATTCTTCATTTAGTATTGATTCGGTAGTTTGATATTGATAAAGATTCTGCTTTGGACTGAAGTCTGCACCTGTCCCATAGTGACAGTTAAGACAAATTCTGATTATGATTCTGTTATAATCCTTGTTTAGGGACAGATGACAATTTGTATCTAGCCATTTAGCTATTCAACTATTTAATGTGGAGAGAGTGTCCCAAATGAAAAATTATGAAGGTGGACTGGGTGTTGAGGTTGAAAGTGAACCCACTTTGCAGCAGCTCAGAGATGAGGTTCATCATCTCTTTGGGTGAAACCACAGCGCTGGCTCCTGAGCCCGACTTCTGAGTCTTCACTCGACTCTTCTTTCCCATGGTGCTGGATGGACAACTGTGCTGAGAAAACACACCAGTATTAATGTGAGCGTCACACACTGACTTATTTCCAACATCATGCTTACTGTGTGAAGTTAACTCGTCAAACAAGTCGTTGTTCTTGTGCAGCCAATATAATTCTCCACTGTGCACTATGCCACACAAACAAAACTGAGTCACACTTTGCCATTTTCTTTGCTTTTCTTAGAAAGCCATCCTCTGTGTTTTGATTTCTAATTCAAGCACTGACTGCAGTATCTGAGCGGGCCCATTTGATGATGCTGAAAACACATGTAAAGGACTTACTACTCTCTGTTCTGGGAAAAAAAAAAAAAAAAAAAGATTTCCTATTTATTATTGCCACATAAAGGTGTTCTTGCACGTTATCTCATGGCTGCCCATACTGAGTCTGGTTTTGCTCAAGGTTTCTTCCAGTTGATGAGGGAGTTTTTCTCTCCACAGTCGTCAAAGTGCTTGCTCATTGTGTGAACTGTTGGGTTTCTCTATACATTTTTAAGGACTCGGCCTTCAGTGTAAAGTGCTTTGAGAATATGTATATCATGATTTGGTGCTTTATTCATTCTTTTACTCTACATCTGTCAAGTACTTTTATCACTGCTCTTATTGGTTCAGAACAGGATTAGAATTGACTTTTGTTAATCATATTAAGACATAGTTTCATGAGCACCATCTGATTGGGTTTTTTCTTTATTTATTGAAGAGCGTCGTCTTTCAATTTGACAGCAGGACTTATTGCTTTGATTTTCAGATGTCATAGGGCTTTCAAAAAAAACCTAAAACTTTGTGATGGTTAAGGTAAGGGGCTGGGGAATGCATTGTGTGAATGCATGTACGTACAACAGTGGAAAGACGTGTCATGTCAGTGGGGGGAGCAGAGCCGTCAAACATGACAGTAAGTTAGTTCCTACGGCTTGGAAAATAGTGACATCCTGTCACATGACCAACCATTATTTACATTGACCACATATGCAGTCTGATTTACTTTGCTTTGAGGTGCAAAATAATCAGAGGATACTGCAGCTAGAGAAATGTTTCTGTTCACTTCTATTCTGTTTCCACATATCTTATCTAAAATATATGAGGTGTCTGTATTGTAGTAGTTGAAAGCACATGTATTTACAATGTTTAATAGCTGTGCAGCAGTCCTGTTTACATGGTTATGATAAGTGTCTGGTCAGGGAGTGATGTGACATCATGTATGTAATATGATGCTGTACGCTGAGTTTAACTCACATAGTGAGCTCGAACATGATACAGCGGAAACACAAGAAGAGAGCTGATCGAAAAAATCTCCACTATAAAGAACCCTGTAATACCATGATCAACTTGACATTCAACCATCAACATTGTAGATGCACATCTGCATAGAATTTTTCCACTACCTAAAGTTATCATCCTTGTCTTTGCATGCCATTTCGACTGACTTTTTATCTTTAGTTTCTTGGATTAATCTGTCAACTTCTTGATGAGAATAACAGATAAAAAAAAAACATAAACATGCTGGTGTTACAGCTTCTGTCACATCATGTGGATTGGTGTAATGGTTGGTCATGTGACACAAGGGCACGCCTCCCAACCCTCAGGATGTTACAACTACCAGACAAAGCAGAGCAGCAAGAGACAGACAAATGAAGCTGCACCACAGACACCAAAACCAGATTTTCCGACCTGCTGATCCAGCTCACTGGTCTCAGTACCAGTCAGACATTACCTCATGAATAGTCAGTTACAGAGTGAGTTCAATGATTCCCATACAAATATACAGACACAGGTACCAACCAATGCCAACCAGTTTAATTTCCAACTGCTCACCCCATGTGCTCTACCTCCTTCTAACACATGCACGCACACATACACGACATTTTACCAAAGCAAATGAAGTGGCTGAGTTGATTTCTGGCAGCTGGGGTCTCTTTCAATCTAACCTCCCTTTACAACCATGCGCCCACGACACGTGTGTCTCCACTCCCTCTCACAACACACAGCTGCTCAGTGACATTCAATAGCAGTTGTTGCTGTGGTCCAAAGCCAGTCATTTCCAAGAAGAGAACTTCAAGCAGCCACTTCCTCGTTCTGCTGTAACTGCTGATCCACGTCACTTTAATCCACTACTCAGAACAAAACACAGTATTAATGTGTGCACCAAACTTCATGATCAGTGGTACATTTGCATTAATATTTATATTCCTGCCTTTATATAAATATTTTGACCTGTTTTATGACCATTCACACTCATCCATGTTCACGACTGTTACCTTTGACTATAATTCTGTATACCATATCTACTCTAGTGCAATTTTACTGCAAAAGAATAAATCCAATATGGCATACTGTTATTATGTATGAGGCTTTTTGACAGAGCACATGAAACTCGTGTCTTAGATTTCAAGTCAATCTCAAATTTTCTTTAGTTGAGCCTTTTCAAATCAGAGCGCCACCATCTGGGTGACTGGTCTCATATTTGTGAGGAGGCACATGCACATCAATGTGGGCCAAGTTTCATGTTTCTAGCATGGCAATTTGAACTGTGGCAGACGACATATAACATTTATAATAAAACCACGTATGTTATTACTGGAACAACCGTGTAAAAGCTGTAGAACCAGCATTAACAGGCCATTGGCTTTCCTGCAGAATGGGGTGTTCCTGGGTTGAAATCCTTGGTTGTTTAGACATATTTTGTATGCAAATTACATGGAGATGATCTATACACAAAAATCGGTATGTTCGATGAAATAACCTCTACTTAATCCTATCAAACTGACTCCAGATCAGCACGTACACACACACACAGAGAGTTGTGGATATTCGGATTGGTTTTGTCTAAACTAAACCAGCAGAGACACTGGAGGGTTTTATCCTTTAGGGGCTACAATCTAAACGTGTCCACCAGAAATGGATGACTTGAATCCAAGGGACTAAACTCTGTGCTCCGTCAAAACCTGCAGGAAATAACAGAGCTTTTTTATAAAAAAAAAAAAAGTTGGGCTACCCCACCCACTGCGAGGCGGACGACAGTTAGCAGCGTGGCTGCTCTCTGGAGTCTCTGAGTTCCCTGTCATGTTGGACAGCTGGTGACAGAAATCACTGAGCACTTTCTGACAAACATTCACGGTGGAGTGACCATCAGGGCTTGCTTCTTTTTTTTTATTTGGAAACGTAGTAAGACATAACCACGGTTCTCCACTCCTCCCACAGCCCAGCACCAGTTAGCCGCCCCCCCCGGTCTGTGGCAGCATCTCCCGCTAGGCCAGCAGCTAGCTTCCTGACACCGAGCACTCAGGCCCATCCGAGCGGAGCCGTGAGCGGACCGAGGCTCGGGGACGACGGGGGCTCAGTTATCAGCACCGAGTACCGCTAGCGAGCTAGCTGTTAGCTGCTAATCTATCCAGTGATAGAAGCTGGGTTGCGACGGGAGCTAATCTGCTGGTTAGCTGGTTAGCTCTGTCCGCCACGGTGAAGCAGCCTGCACAGTACACACACACCGTGACACAGAATACGAGTCGCGGAGTCAGAACTGAACCATTAACCCCAGTAGACATTTTTCTCCGGTGCACTCGTACCTTTCCACTGACAGCAACGGTCCCTCTGTTCCTGTGCACACACCAACCTTGACCCAGTCCCGCGTCCGATTGGTGGAACCTCCAGACAGAGCCCACCCACGGCACTAGATTCCGGCCTTTTGATTGGTTGTAGCACAGCACGGTCAACGATCCCGATAGCTGATTGGTTCGAGCTGCTGCTTCACGTACTTCCCCCTTCTCACCACGCGTTGTGATTGGATGCGTACTTTTAGAAAGCGAAACACGACCATAGATGGTCAGAATTCAGATGTGTCGATTGGTTGAAAGACACGTCAGTCATTGATATGGCTCCGGTGCGCTCCAGCGGTCTCGTTCGGGCGGAGCGGCTTGTGTGGAGTCCACGCTGAACGGCGTCCGTCAGCTCACCGTGAGCCGAGGAGCTCCAGGAGCAGCATTCACCAAGCACTGGTCAATGTGCAGATTCTATTCTTTAATCCGAAGGTTTTTAAAGAGATGGAACATCCACTCACTCTCTGCTCACCACTATGCCGGTGGAGGGGTGGGCGAAGTGTATGAGTAATATAAAACACTTCTGGAGTTTCAGGGGTAAACAGAGTTGCAGCCAAAGTAATAAACAGTGAAAAAACAAATGGCCTCCATACTGCTAGAGTGTTTTTTGTGATTAATGGAGGGATACAAAGAAATGGACAAAATCCTCTCTGTAATATGTAAGACTCATGGGCCTATGTCTAATGTTTTGTGTAAAATGTGTGTATGTTTGACTAGATATTGCATCATTTGCATATTCAAATTAAACAATAGTTAAAAAAAAAAATTGGCTTTAAGTAAGTAATTGGGGAAGTCTCATATCTGTTCGATTTGTTAGCCATCAACTAAAAAGTTTCACAAATTAATCATCACCACGTTACATGGGTGGCTATTTAAAATTATTTTAAATGATCAACTCCCTCTACTCATACTAACAGGCCAATTAGGGGGAGTGATTCTGTGCTCTAAATTATGATCAATTGATTTGAATACACTGATAGGACACATTCAGGATCACGATATTGTGTGATTATCGTTCCATGACATTAAGAATCAGTCGTTGTGCAGATGACAGAGGCAGCTCTGTAAATGAATGAAATAGCATGTAAGTAAAAAGTTAAAAAAACCGAGACGAGTCTGCTTGAAAATGACCCAACAACACCTTCTACAGGCGTAATGTCACCTGGACTGTCAAGTTCCCAGTGAGCAGGTTTAACTGTGAGCAGGAGTGGAGCTGTTGTGGTGTGTTTGACAATCAGCAGCATCTCTCTCTCTCTGTCTCTCTCTGTGTCTCTCTCTCTCTCGCCTAATCAGTAGCATGTGACGACAGCAGTTTTAACAGCGGGTTAAATGCTGCGCTCTTCCACACAGTTCATCCTTCACCTCCAGCCTCGGGACCTCAGCAGGGGCCCAGCCGCCCTGGATTTCATCATGCTGGTACTTGGACAGCAAGGACTTGGCCACAGTCAGATGGACTAGACCCCGGCACAAAGGCCCAGTGACCCAGAGAGGGGCCGGATTCATCTTTGATGTGGACGCATTCAATTTGATATAAATTTGTGCGATGGACATGAAGTGACAGCCATCATGTGATGGACAAAGCTGCCACAGGGGAGAGCTCTTTACTCGGATTGTTGTATAAAGTCAAGTCTGAATGCACCATTTAGCCAAGTATGAGCAGTCATATGTAGTTAGGTTAGAGTGTTCTCATCAGCACTGAGTCTACCATTGTTTTCAATGTGATAGTGAGATAATTAGGTGTCCACAGCTCCAATTTGGCATACCTGTGTCGGTTTGAAGCCTGTACAGAGAGATTCTTCCTTCAGAACATTAGCATTTTGTTGAAAATGCTCTGATGGGAAACTGGAAGTGTGTAAATGAAGTTCAGAAAAGGTTGTGAATAATGCTCATCATATCTCATCAAACATTTAACCATAGAAATGTAGAGGTGGTAGAATGTTCTATATATGTTATTCATATCAGCACATGCATGTGAAAACATGATGAAATCATGTTGGACCAACTGGGTAATGAAACTGTCTGTAAGTCAGACAATTCTATCGATGCAATCCTGCAGGAGACCATCTACATCTTACAACTCATGTGCATTTACCGAACAAATGCGTCACATGTTCTTGCAGTACACATAGAATCTTCAAACTTACAAGTTTTACTTGGCAGCCTGGCTGAGGGTTGTCACATGACGTCTGTAACAACTGGCTCACTGAAGAGGGAGGTCTTGCTTCAGTGGTACAGGCTGTTTTTGAGTATTCAACAGCACACACTTTTGATGTTACCTTTCCATTCACATGTTAAAGCAAACATTAAAAGGCAGCTTGTGACAAAATGTGTTCTTCTCCTTAATAATTAACTTTTAAAAGCTACCATCTACAACTGTTGATGCAGAAATGTGTTTCCATTATTATTTTTATTGAGGGACATTTTTGTGAACTTCTTTGTGGATTTTTTTCCAAAAGACTTAGTTTTAATATGAGAGCATAAGTGTGTTGCTATTATCATATCATGTAATGCTATTACACTGGTCTCAAAGATAGATGTTATCCTTTGTGCATAAAAAGTTTAGTTGTTCACAGTTTTGCTCGACTTCTCCCCACAGTCCTATCACAAGGATTTCATGATGGCTCTCCCTCACCGACACCGACAGACACATACCAAATGTGCTCTATCGAACTGATTTTATACTGGACTTTCAAATGAAGCCACAAGTAATATCTCATCAGTTCACCAGCAGGAGGGTTCAGGAAACAAATGAGTGTCTGAGAGGTCTGGCCTGAATAATTTAAATGACGTGCTAAACAAAAAAATCACTGCAATCTGAACAACCGTTAACCATTTTTATCATCATCAATGTATTTTAACGTGCACAAACCCATAAACTGAGGAATAGTGATACAAACAGCGTAAAAGTCAAACAAAAAATTCGGCATGCCCACTCGACCTCTTTCCAACTAGCCCCACAAAGGTGAACAGGTGCTCAAATAAAGTATTATCCCCACTCATATCCTATGTGACCTACGTTCTACCAAAGCAATAAACAAAAATAACAAATAATCCAAGTAATACACCTTTAATGCTTTTTTTGCGGTATTATGATCAAAATTTCAATTAAATTAAATTGAATTGAAATAATACCGCAAAATAAAAACCATCAAATACCTTGTGTCATTACCAAAAACAAATTATATTAATCTCAAACTCATTCATGGCTCCTAATGCAACAAAGCTCAAATTTTTGTTATTTTTCCAAAAATTTTAATGCAACTAGATGTAATAAACCAGGCATTTTCAGAGCACTGATAATTATGAGTGTGTACAATTTGGGGCGGATCCTAAAATCTAAAATCTAGATGTTTGTAGATGCTTGCCTGGCAAACAATAACCATAACCCAAACAATCCACATTTAATATCAAGCTTTCACATTAAAAATCTACCGACACAGATTTATAAAGAAAAGAATATTTAAATTTTATTCCAAAACCATCTAAAACATTCTCATATCATTATCATATACTGCTAAAATACATTTCAAGCTACATACACCTTTCACAAAAATATAAAGGAATGCTACACAATGGTAACCTATAGGAAGTATGTATTGATAAACAGCTTCTTCAGGTCTTTTTCTAAAATATACCATCATGGAGGAACATTTCAGTCAAAGGGTCTTATCTTACACCAGCGGTGGCTGTTTGAAAGTTATTTAAATAGAACATGTATTCGTGCGCATCTGAGCACCCATGGGTGTGTACGCTGGACTTCAAATGAGCTGTGGTCAGTTGCAATGTTGATACATTATTATCTTAAGGCAGCAGAAAGTGATTGACAAACGAAAACCTGGTCTGAAGACAGCTTTGCAGCATTTCACTGTTATATTAGAAACACATAAACAAGGTGAACAAATATATTATTGCATGTTAGGCCCCAAAACACCATGAAAGAGACTCATTACAAACCTTCTGAGCCATGTACCTTAAGCAGGAACCTCTGCCATTAAGCTAGTTAAAGTGGATTTGGTCACATCTTGCTGCACAAGCTTTAATTTATGAGCTAAGGTCATTAAAATAGAGCCCAGTCAACATTTGAATGTCACCATGAAAAATATATTTTTCTTAAAACTAAACTTTACACTCAACAAATAGAAACAGTCTGCGGTTTTGTGTGTAACAGAGAAAGGATTTACAGCAAAACTAACTCTGCAAATGTATGGTCGACTGTACTTGAAAAGAAAAGTATAGAAGCAGATATCATAGCATAATTACCTTCATTATAATTCACTATGCAACACCTCATTTATAATCATCTCAACTGGGGCTGTCATGATGTCAAACTTTCACTACATGATTGATTATCACTGCCAAAGTTTTTCTTGATAATGATACTATTGCAATATATAATGAAAAACTTTCATTCAAATTAATTTTTTTTTATTTCTCTTTTGGCAAATTACACTGAAACTAAAACAAAATGCTATGTTGGAGTGTGAAACAAATAATTATTGCTTCACTGCGGAAAGATACAAACAGTGTATAAGAGGTGCTTGATTATTTAAATGATTTTCATGTGTATTATTAACATATGAATTTAAACATTTATTTATTTATTCCATGGTCCTCATAAATATTGGTATATAACAACACCCCGAATCTCAACAATTGTCATATAAATTCAAAAGTGTCACACTATGTCAAATACTCCAGTCATGCCCTGCTCTTCTAAGAGGATCAGCCTCTTACAGATTCCACATTGAAATGAAAAAAATAAACAAAGTTACCCTCTACTGGCTGTTCTGAGATGAGCTTATTTGATTATTCTTTGGGGAAAGTAAAATTGTCTCTTCAAAGTTTGTGTCATGATTAAAATGCCTGTGGCAGAATGAAGTGTGTGCAGTTGATTCACCTGAAATGATCAAAGTTTGCTTGAAATTAATAAAAAAGATATTTGTTCAGTTTTTAAACATAACATAAGCTTGTGTTGGACAGTGATAAACAAAGCTCACTAAGCATGAGTTACTGATGATGTTAAAGAAAACATGGTTCACCCACAAGAAGAGAGCATACATTTGAATCACTGTGGCTCAGCACAGCACAAGATGTATAAGGCCTATAGCTTAGCAGAAAGACTGATAGCATGGGTCATTTATCACCTTTCAGTGTTTGCATTTCAATATTTGCAAGCTGCCCTGTTTATATTGTGCAGCCTATTCAAATTGTCTAGTCACAAATACTTCTCACTTGACTTGTTGACAGTAATGGGTGGTGCATCTGTGGCTAGCTCATAGCCAACACCATGTTAGCGTAGAGCTTTTTATAATGATGGAGGATGACTCTGCTTCCAATGTTTGTACTGTGTTTCACTAAACATGTCTCTGAATGAAAGACAGATGTGAAGTTAGTTTATCAGTCTTTTTGTTGGTAACACAGCGCAATTACATTTCCTAACAAGTCACAGAGTAATAGTAAACTGAACAGGGAAATACATGGTAGCTCATGTATGCACAGTGTGTGTCCTGTGTTTTAAAGCTGCTGCTAACATCTCCAAAGCACACACAGCAAGTCTTCAGAATTTATAACGAAATAAAATATAAGCTTTCTACATAAGAACTGTCTTTTACATTTTGGCTAAGTTTCAGAAATCAGAGACAGTAGTGTCAGTGCATGCACATGTAACTCTACAGTTTGAACTTGAATCCCTAAACCTGAATCCTGAATCATGTTTTTTTTATCTTGTGCACACACAAGTATCTTGTGTGCACATTAATAAGGCTCTGCACTAATTAATATGTGACTTTTAGAACTTCATAACCTTTTTCCATTCTTACTGTGCATTTACAACAATGTTAAAGGTCATGTAATGTCTGGGAAATGTTTTGAGGGACGCTCTGGTTAATCAGACAAATGAAAGGAAATATAAATCAGAGAAAACCTCATGAACTGTTTAAATACATGTCTTCCTTTTCTTATGGAAAAAAAAAAACTCAAGACACAAGGCGCCTGCAGAGACAGTCATGGTCACTATCAGGGCAATGAGCTGCTGTTTGGTCTGGTCCCTGTGACAGCAGGTGGCAGAAGTTCAGCTGCTTCGTCTCATGGACATTTCAACCAGTTGATTCTAAGAACTTAAGTTAATGTGTCAGGGTGAGAAATATTTAACCATTTAAGAAATATTAAGGCTTAAAGGGAATGATTCTGGTAGTGTTGACTTGATTGACAGGTTGTTTTAGTTTGAAAACGCCAAACAATCTCTGTCCACACAAACGTTTTTGCTCCATTTCAATTTTAATCCCCTTACAAACACACGTGAAAACATATGTTACGAGACGGCTCATGTACACTGGGCATGTGCTTCCGCTGGACACGGGAATTGTCTCAGAGTGCTCGAAAAACAGTTTGTCTCCTGCACATATAATTACTTGTATCATTGCAGAATGCTGAATCTCACTGCTGAAAGCAAAGACAACAGGGTCAGCAATTGGCCAGCAAGTGCTTCGAATAATAATAATCCATGTTGTGTTCTACACTGGCAGCGGAGGCTAACACAAATTGTTTTCTTTCAGAAGAGGGTCATGGGACGAGTCAGGTTACAGTATGACCATAAAGACCCAATCAGGAAGCAGTTGTGTGTGTCTACATCATAGTTTCCAAACATCTCTGTTCCTGCCAGTCCAGACTAAAATACTGCCCCAGTGTTTTCAAACTAAAACCTCTCTGTGTAAGTGGTGTGGTGTAGTAGTAGTGTGGAGGCTGGGCGTACAGTATACGTTGCAGAATTGATGTGATTTCAAATGAAGCCCTGGCTAATCCCATTCAGCTATGGTGACTGCATCTTGTGTTGGAACTCCAATCAGGCTTTGCCCACATATCCCACATTCAGACTTTCTGCTTCTAAGACGATGGCAGGTAAACCCAAACCCAGCAGTTTAGAATGTTTCATACAATCTGTGTCTCAGGCACACACCAGGTAGAAGTGAGACATACATCCATTAGAACTCAGTTTAGTTCAGGCTAGGATTGTTCGACTGCTGGGACGTCTGGCTTCACTTGGTGTCCGACAACTGTAGCTGCCCTTTGAACTGGTTTCCTGAGAGCTGCTGTCTGACGGACGGCTTGGAGCCGGTGGCATCGCCCAGCTTCCTCCAAACAACCTGAAAGGGACAATCAATAGTGTTAGGTATATTGTATATGTTTATCAGTCATTTTATCATCAGTCTTATATGTCTAAAAATCATTTAAATAATCATCAGTGATGGAACATGATTATTAGTCATAGGTTTTGGCATTTTTATCATGTTCCAGAAACTTTGGTGAAAGGACATCTCCTTCAGCTGTGAACTTCAGCAAATAATATGGGGATCATATCCTGTAGCTCTATTCAGTGGAGCGCAGGTTCGAGATATCCAAAAATCAGAGACACTGACTTATTGCATGTTCTACCTGAGATTTCCACATATGGACATTATCGCCACACTGCTGCTGGAAGGTTCTTATTGGAACTTACATTGCACATCTCTCTGACGATGGCCTTCTCTTTTTCACTGAGATCTTCATCATATTCCTGTGAACCCTGTCTGTCAAGCTTTTCATGGACCTGCAACACCTTCACACACACACACAAATACAAATCTGTTTCTTTTCTTTTCTTTTACACTGCAGCTTTAATTCAAATGGACGATATAATAAATAATTAAATACAATAGAAAAAGTCAAACACTGCCACAAAACAAAGACTGTGAACACACAACAACTTCAATAGAAACAAAGGCTGTCTCAGCAACATGGCAACAATACGTCACTACATCACCAATACTGGACCTGTGTTCAGCTGACATGAGGAAAGGAAACGACTCAAGAGGCATAAATAACTGTAACTGAGAACAAAACTGAATCCAACTCTGCTGTAAAGTCTGAACACAGTTGTACTGATGAAGCACATGAGCAGCATTAAGTTCATCTGGAGTGAGGGGAGTCAGAGCTCACAGACAGACAGAGGTGGTGTATCAACTTAGACTTGGTAAAAGCGCTAGCTTATTTTAACCACTAGAGGGCAGCTGGTGTCCTTCATTGCAACGTATACGACATACTGTGCACACATTAACTGACTGGATCACTGGAAGTAGCATGGGTCTACCTCAACAACGTACATATGTACTGGAGTAAATTTCACCTTACAATATTGGTACTTTTACTCCAGTAAAGGATATGAATACATCAATACACCAAACAAAACTGACAGCTACAGTAAATGGTCACCAGTTGCAGTTTAAAAGTATGAAAATCCTGTAAAAAAACAAAAAACCTGCAAAAATTAAACAAGCAATTCCCAACCACGTGGCTTATGAGTGCTAATGTAAACAGTTTAAGAGCCCTATCTGAGGGGTCTAATTTCTGATGTGTCTGGGTTGTCAGGTGTTATATCTCTAAACTTGTCCCATAGTTTCATAAATGCTCCAATATTTCACTCAAAATCAAGACCAACTGAAAACAGATCAGTGAAGGAGATCAGTGGTTTTTGTCCTCTCCCATGAGTACCTTGCCATGTGACGACCTCTAATTGAAAACATTCATGTGCTGCTGAAGCACAGGATTAAGAATCTGATCATGTCACACAGAAGAGATCAGTCACAGGAGACTCTTTACTGTGCATGTACTTTTACTATAGAACAATAACTACATGAGGTACAGATTCTTGAATTTAAATGCACAAATTCTACTTGTTTAAGAGTATTGTTACATTGTTGTATTTGTATTTAAGGGCGGGTTCACGTCAGCCTAGTGTAGTCCAGTTAAATCAAACCTTGGAGTGTTTACACCTTTTGTGCAGTTCGTTTGGATGGTATGAATTTGGATTCTAACTCTGGTGCAGCCCAGACAACTGCACTCTGGTGGTCTCTGACTGCTGTCGAGTGAACTCTGGAGTGGTTCATTTCTGTTGTGTACACCCTTCGAAATAATGACAGGAAGCGTATCAGTATATCTTTCGTATCAATGGTTTAAAAACGTTTTCTCTTCCTGTTTTGACAACTGGCAAGTCACCACACCAACTGCAACCGAAATGTTGACTGGCAGGGGATAAACATGGACTCAGGACAAAGTGAGATGCCTCCTGGGTATTTGGGCAGAAGAGAACATAGCCCAGGATTCTGTGCAACTTTTACAGGTGCACCATGAGAGTGTACTGACTGGCTGCATCACCACCTGGTATGGCAGCTGCACCGCCCTGAACTGTAAGGCTCTACAGAGGGTGGCGAAGTCTGCTCAGCGCATTACCAGGACGGAGCTGCCATCCATGGAGGACCTCTACACCCAGCAGTGTAGGAAGAAGAGCAACCGGATCACTAAAGACCCCGATCACCCAAACCACAAACTGTTCTGCCTGCTGCCATCTGGCCGACAGTACCGCAGCATCCGGGCCTGCACCACCAGGCTGAGAGACAGCTTCATCCCCCAGGCGTTAATACTTTTAAACTCCTCCCATCTGCCATAATTCATCTCTCTGCACCTTATAATATAAAATTGCACTACTTTTTTAGGTGTATATTTATTATATTATTTGAATAGTTTAGGTTTATTCTTTATTGTTATTTTATATATTCTATTTTTATTTTTATCTTTATTTTTATCCTGTGTAATTTTTCTGAGCATGGCTAAAGGGGATCCTGGGACTCAAGCATTTCATTTCCAGCAACTGCTAAATGTAATTGTTGTGCATATGACAATAAACCCTTGAATCTTGAATTGAAACATATCACAATTACTAGAGACGATGCATAAGAATACAGAGGTTTTCTAATTATTTTGCAAATAAATGAAGGAGAGTGGATTCCAGCGAACTGCTGAGAAAGTTAAAAAAACGGTGTGAACAGCACATCAAAGTAAGCAACGCTTTGGAAATAAAGTGGTAGCTCTGCAGATGTAAAGGACAAATTTGTGAGGTATGATGGTGAAAGGATTTTAATTCGACACCCACTGTGAGCGTAGTAGATGTTATTGACGAGGAACCCGGGGGAACATGCACCAACTCATCGTCGTCTGCCATGGATAGCCACAGTTAATCAGCTCATTAGGCCAATTATTAAATTACTTAAAGGTTCACTGTGTAGAATTTAGTGACATCTAGAGGTGAAGGTGCATGTTGCAGCTGAATACTCCTCATCTCACCCTCCCCTTCCAAACATGACAGAGAACCTGTGGTGAACTTCAGTTGTCACAAAAACTCAAAAGGTTTAAGTTTGTCCAGTTTTGACGACAGTACAAAACATGGCAGCCTCCACAGAGAGGACCCCCCTCCATGTAAATATAAAGTTTATAAATACAGTATAAAGAGCCCATTCTTTGGTAAAGAAAACAACCATTCATACAATTTAGATGAAACACACCAGTGAAAACATCACTAGGATTATTTTACATTCAATTTCTGCCAAAAATTCCTTTCACCTAAATCTTACACACTGTATCATATTCAAGTAGAAATTGGGGTGGGATTGTTGTATTTTTATGAACATTAATAGAGCGACATTTCCACCATATGGCTTTTGTTTATACTTTCTGGAACATTTTAGTTTTGCCTTTGTGAAAGAAAACTGAACCAGTTGGAAAATTAAAACAATGTATCTTCCTGACACTGATTTGAAGCAGGAACCTGACTTTTTGGTGTGAACCCGCCCTAAGTAAAAGCACACTACTTGAGTAAAGGATCCAAATACTTGCTTCTTTGATCCGTAATCATCTTTATTATGGTGTAAAATAGAAGATCTGTACTATGTGGTCTACCTTCATTGCATGGACTATTGCCTCTGGTTTCTGCCCTGGGGGGATGTAGAACCCTGTGGGTGAGGGGGTCCGAGCAGCACTCTGCAGAGGAAGGATTCACAATCATTGTTGTCACCATGTTAACAGAAAGATGAGTGTACAGGAAAATTCTGAGGCAACAAGCAGTAGAACAAAAAGAATATGAAGAGGAAAAAGAGACGGTGTGAGAGGAAGCAGCAGCGCTGCTGAGCTAGGTACAAATTGTCCCCATGGCGACAGGAGGTGCTGTAGATCTGCTGTGTTTGCAATAAAGCCGGACAGGATCAATCCGCTGCTCAGACAGAACTTGAGGTGAGATAGGATGACCTGTGTCTGCTGCAGGAAGTTAAAAGTTTCCTGATCTGAATCATGTGAGAAGGGCTGCAGTGCTGATACTGCACCTTTAACTTCTGACCTTTAACTTCTGACATTGTTGATATCTTTTTATTTTCAATTCAATTCCATCCCACACACTGCATCAAGTGGTGTCTGAGCCTGACTGAAGAGCTGAACTGACATGATGAAAATCAAATCACATGTTTTTTATTCCTCCCATTCACAATTCACAAACATTAACAAAAGAAATGGACTGATGTGATTAGATGTCCTGTTTACATGCACCAGGTATCAGCCATCAACACTTGGAGGTCATGATGGGAGTTTTCACTATGGAAGACCATAAATAAATAACTGAGATACAATTTAACAACTTTCAAAAACGTGTGAGTAGAGTCTTGTCATTTCAGCTTGTACATGTACTGACTGTTGTCACTCATAAAGGGAAATGAGCAGCAATATTGAATGTATCCTCATCTGACTTTATTGCCATTGTTTTGCAGGCGATGTAATGTCTTTGCGGTAAGATTTTATTGAAGCATAACCCGAACACGGCCAGAGTGAATAAAAGTGAAAGATGGAGGGAGTGCTGCTACATAAACAGCAGATATACGAGCCAGAAGATTTGAGGCTCATCTCTTATTGCTTGTTAATAATTCGTAGGAGTCAGGCAAACACACGTGCACATGCACACGCAAACAGAGAAGAGCAGAAACATGACAGTGACACCACTTACCTGTGACAGCAGCCGCTCGTTTTCATCCTCTAGCATCCTCACCTTTGTCTCCAGCTGTGTGACGTAACTCACGGGTGCATCTTTACAAGACAAAGAAAAAAAAGTCACATCTAGTGAGATCTTGGTTTGAGCAGATGCCAATTATAATTTCATTTTCAAGTGAATACAATTAAATGAAGTATCAGAGAATCTGTGATGGCACGGTGATGCAGCGATTAGCACAGCAAACGTGTTCTCTGTGATATGCTGCTGACCTATCCAGGTATGGATGGATGGATAAAAGAATTTGCTCATGCCTTTATGTTCATTGTCTTTCATTGGACACAGCAACATGCTCAGCACTGTATAGCTTTATTATGAAGCAATGAGCTGGTCTGTGGGCCTCTATAGTGTCTGATGGCTGCAGTGAACTGATACCTGAGCCCTACGTTCCGCCCTGTGTTCATCTGAGCATGCATCTCTCTTTCTAGCGCCTGGACTGACATGTTTTCACATGTTTAATCTCCACATAAGAAGCTCTTTGTATGATCTGATCTTACTTCTCAGAACAACATCAGGCAGTCAAGGAATTTCTGGCACCTGAAAGATAATGAGTTTAACCTTAAACCAAAGGGCTGTTGATGTTGATTCAAAGATACCTCTGAACATGATCCAGCAAAACGTACATGCCCAATTTGTGTCATATATATGTGTGTGCAATTAAAATTATAATGTCACTATCTCGACCAACGATGCCATCTGTGACTTCTAGGTACTGTACATTAGTGTGACACTTTCTACATGTGATAATACCTCAGGTTGTGTGGGGCACGTCTGCTTTCTTTCCCTAGAGTCCAAGTTTTAGGTTTTCATCAGCCATACATGCAGAACAAACAGGTCTTTCTGTTTGACATGGCCTTTTATAATATCAAACGAATGCTCATGCACTACACTAGGGAGGTTTTTTCCACATTTGCCAAAGTGCTTCGCTTTGTGGGAACTGTTATAATGTAAAGTGCCTTGAAATGATGCATGTCATGATTTGACGCTATGCATTGAATTGCACCAAAACGTCTTCTTATTTATTCAATTTGATGATTAATTATTTCAAATAAATAATAAATAAATAAATAAACATAAAACAATCAGGAAAAAACTGTAGAAATGGTGAGAGATGATTGGTGAAGAGCTTGATTTCCATTCCATTTCCATTAGCCATGAGATAAAGTCCAGGCGATGTGGTCAAAGTCACTGGTACAGATGGTGCTGACCTCAGCGCAAACACAGGAACAGACACACACACGCATACACACTCACACAGGAACACCACTCCACCCTCTGAAGTGGAGACAGTGCTGACAAATAAAGGCAGAGGTAAGAGGACCTCCTTAAATTACAGTCAGTCAGCACTAGGCCAGTACAGTCCAGTTCTGTCTGTCTCTGTCTTTCTCTGTCTGTCCTTCAGAGTACTTCTATCTATAAAAATGGAAGAATTCACTGAAATCACTTATGGCTCAAGAAGATTTTCAGTTTAGTTTACACAGATAACCTGCTAACGTTCAGTTAGGGGTAGATGTGGATGAGGGGTTGCAGCTCAGCTCCACTTTCCTTCCTCACATTTCCCCAGGTTTCATTTACTATAATCCTGTTTGATAGTAATTTAGAATCTCAGGCATGAAAGCACAGGGTCAAATTTTTTTGTACTTGGCCCCACAGACATTTCCTCTAGACCTGAATGTGGATATTGAGGAGTCTCATAAGTCTGGGAGGGGAATATTGAAATATGTGGTTCAATAAAATCCAAGCAGGGGGCAAAGAGGTATTAGATGAAGTTCATGAGAGCCGACCTGGCATCAGTTTGACTAGAGCGGAGGTTTAAAGGGATGGTTCACAGACAAATGAAAATTCACTCATCATCTACAAACCACTATGCCGATGGAGGAGTGGGTGTGAGTCCACGAAACACTTCTTGAGTTGCAGCCGAAACCGATACAATTGAAGTAACCGACCTGTACTTCAGACAACAGAAAGAACATCACATTGCAAATGTGGTGTCATCCAAATGTCCACAAGCCCAGACATTCATATGTGACTCAAAATGAGGTAATTTACACCGTGTTTCAGGCCTAAAAGTCATAGTACAGTAACTACATGGGTTAGTGGACGAAGCCACACAATGGTGTGCCCAGAGGGTGCGTGAATTCACCTCGTAAGAAGACATCAGTGGACATTAAGGCTTAAAACACAGTGTCGTGGCTTGCGGACACTTGGATGACACCACACGAGCAGTATGGAGGCATATTAGGTTTTTTCTGTTGTTTTATTACACCTAGAGAGGAGGTCACGATTGACTTCAATTGTATTGGATTCTGCTGCAACACTGTTTACCCTTGAGAATCCAGAAGTGTTTTGTGGAATCAAAACACTCACCCATCCCTCCATCAGCATACTGGTGAGTAGATGATGAGTGAATTTTAATTTTTCAGTGAACTATCCCTTTAAGTACATTGTACCTTGGTTGGTTAACCATATCTAATAACCTTCAAAAAAGAGTAGTAAACTGTGCTAGCAAATGTAATATGCTCAAATCAATGACACATAATTGATCAATACTAACTCATCACAATTTTCCTATTGTCAAATGAAACATAACTAAAAAAACAAATAAGCTACTTAAAAACGATCCCTTCCTTTGTCACACAATCAAGAATCAGTGTCATCCAGATGGGGTGCAAATGATTGAACCTCCATACAGAGTATGTATTATCTCATTAGGGTCTGTTGTTCTCTGAGTGAGCATCAACATTCCAAGATCTAAAGAGGCTCCAGAAATACAGGCTTAGACACCTCTGCATCTGGCAAGGATTTTTAAAATATCTTCAAATTATGTGAAATAATTAATTCCGCAAATTCATCAGATTAGAAACAACTTCCACTTTGTCCAGGAATGGTCAACCTGGAAAATCAATACCAAAAGCAGATCGTTTGATTCAAGACAAATGCTCCATGAAATTTCAACACAGCACCTGCAGTAAACTCATGGCATCAAAGTTAATGTGTCTGCAATCAGAATGAGACTGCACAAGTTTGACCAGAATGGGAGTCCTGCCAGGAAAAAGGCTTTACGATCCAACAAGAGCATTAGAGCAAGACTACAGTTTTCCAATGAACAGGATAACGCCCTGAAGCACAGAAACAAATCCACCAGGGAATGGTACAGAGACAAGAACTTGGTTTAAGTAGCCCAGATTTAAGGAAACATGTTTCAAGTAATTTGCAGAAAAATGTTAAATATCTTACAGGTGATTGAAATTTAGTTTTTTCATGGAAGTGTAGTCTGAAATTTTAATTAAGCTGATTTGGAAATTATGACCTAGGCACTCACAACATATTACAAATTGGATCTCATGACATATAGACTTATTATGCAGGCTCCTATCACATGATTCTCTTCCAGAGGAACACAACCGTCATAAGCCTCAGCTACCAGTGGATATGGATAATCAATGGATAATCAATTATAAGCATGTCTAGGAAACTAATTGTTATTTGAACTTTGTGTGACCATTCTGCAGCTATCAACCAAGCAATCCGTTTGTACCAGCATGCCCATGCCCAGTGAACATTAGTGGTCACATATGCAGTATATGTGATATGGGTTTTCAGGTGTGTGAGTATGGACAGGAACTAAAACTAAGCCAAAATGCTGGTGTGGACAAAAATGTGAAAACTCAATTTTTTTAAGAAAATGATGTAGCCTGTATTTTCAGGTGAAGCAGAACTCTCAGGTCCACACTATACAAGCACATTGTGTGAGATATTAAAGGAAACCTTTGAAGACATATTCTGCTGTCTTAATACCAAGCTGCCCTGCTATATAACTGCTTGAACTAGTAGGATTGTATTTGAATGAAATGTACTGTTTTATTCACATGTGCATTTGTGGACATGGCGTTTTTCTCCATCCTCAAATTAACTACAAAGGCAGTCGGCAGCCTCTGCCCATTAATATCTGACCCACCCAATCATTTTGATATTATGATTATTTTTATTTCACAATATCGGATGATGATCTCCGTCATGACAACATTCAACTTTCATTTTGATAAACTGTCTTCAAAGTAAAAGCACACTTCTTTTTTTTTTTTTGCTGCAATACAATGCTTTGTATCGAGCTGAATTACAGAAGTTTTATTTTGAAAAGTTGTGAACTTAGGTCTGAAGATTGTGTTGAAGTCTGAAATAGCCGACATGCAACGTATGAAAAAACAAATGCAGTTAAATAAATCATTCAAACTTATATGTAAGTCATACACATGAACAGTTTTCAGAATTCACTTTCATTTTATGAAAATCTTCATTGCAGATAAGCCAGGCAGGATGAACGCAGTTTTCAATCTTCACTCTGCACCATAGACTGTGTACAAAAAACTTTGCACACAACGTCCAGCACATAAACAATAAAGGGTGACAGTATATTTGAGCAGGACTCATTAATGACAAGTAATAATTCTTAAGTAGCTCCAAAACATCACCACAGGCCAAGCAAACAGTCCATTCAAAACAGTTATGTTTACAACGAGCACTGCACTTGTGATCTACATTCTCATATTAACCATTCCCTCCTCAGCTGAATCACTGGCATGAAAATCTGTCATATGAGAACCTTGAACATGCTGGGAGAAATACAGGCAAAGCACAGGAAAGTGAGTGAGTAGATCACAAAGTGCAGCTGGCAGCAGAAAGACTGGCTCAGCACTGTCTCTGATACAGTAACACACACACACAAACACACACACACACACACAATTGATTTGGTCCATATTTACATTCAGAAAAGCTGCTGTGTAGCCTATTTAACTCCTTCCTCCCTGGACCCACCCAGCAGGTGTCTGAGGCTCTTCAGCAACACTGGACAAAACAAAGCTCTATTATTGTTTCCTCAGCGTGGCCTTTTTCCCACACTGCTCTCAGGCCATTATGTGCACTGTGCTGGAATGTGGGAATTCCTGAGCAGGCAGCTTTTGTCCTGTGATGCCAGGCCAGGGCTCGTTCCTACAGCTAGAGTAAACTCACACAGATTGAACATGTGTCTCTTCTG